CAGTGGCATGGCTAGTGTGGGTGTTGGTGTGGCTAGCACTGGGGGTGGCGTGGCTAGTGCAGGCATTGACATAGCTAGTGCAGGCATTGGCATGGCTAGTGCAGGCATTGACATGGCTAGTGCAGGCATTAGTGTGGCTAGTGCAAGCATTGGCGTGGCTAGCACTGGGGGTGGCATGGCTAGTGCAGGTGTTGACATGGCTAGTGCAGGCATTCGTGTGGCTAGTGCAGGCATTGACATGGCTAGTGCAGGTGTTGGCATGGCTAGTGCAGGTGTTGACATGGCTAGTGCAGGCATTGACATGGCTAGTGCAGGTGTTGGCATGGCTAGTGCAGGTGTTGACATGGCTAGTGCAGGCATTGACATGGCTAGCACTGGGGGTGGCATGGCTAGTGCAGGCATTGGCATGGCTAGTGCGGGTGTTGGCATGGCTAATGCAGTTATTAGCGTGGCTAGTGCAGGTGTTGACATGGCTAGTGCAGGTGTTGGCGTGGCTAGTGCAGGCATTGGCACGGCTAGTGCAGGCATTGACGTGGCTAGCACTGGGGGTGGCATGGCTAGTGCAGGCATTGACATGGCTAGTACAGGCATTGACATGGCTAGTGCGGGTGTTGGCACGGCTAATGCAGTTATTAGTGTGGCTAGTGCAGGTGCTGGTGGGGCTAGTGCAGGTGTTGACCTGGCTAGTGCAGCCGTTGTTGTGGCTAGTGCAGTCATTTACGTGGCCAGCAGTGGGGCTGGCGTGGCTAGTGCAGGCATTGGTGTGGCTAGCGCTGGCGATGGCATGCCTGGCACAGGCACTGGCACGGCGTTGGCATGGTTGGTGCAGGAACTGGCGCGGCTAATGCGGGCACCGGCGTGGCTCGTGCTGGTGTCGGTGTGGCTGGTGCAGAGGGCGGTGTGGCTCGTGCTGGTGTCGGCGTGGCTGGTGCAGAGGGCGGCGTGGCTCGTGCAGGGCCGTGTGTACCGCGGGGCCGGCTCTCCAGGCCAGGGCTCCCAGAAAAAAAAAGGCACGCTGAGCACCCTCCACCCTCCGGTGTCCGGTGTGCCTGCCAGCCCTGCCAGCCCTACCTGCCCTGCCTGCCCTGCCTGCCCTGCCCGCCCTGCCTGCCCTGCTGGCAGCACGGGCAGGGGCTCAGCCGTGCGTGGAGGGTTGAAGAAGTCTGGAAGTGGCACCGCCTGGAGGGAGATGAGGTGACGTGGCTAGTGCAGGCACTGACATGGCTAGTGCAGGTGTCGGTGTGGCAAGTGCAGGCATTGCCATGGCTAGTGCAGGCATTGGTGTAGCTAGTGCAGGCATTGGTGTGGTTAGCGCTGGAGGTGGCATGGCTAGTGCAGGCATTGGCATGGCTAGTGCGGGTGTTGGTGTGGCTAGCACTGGGGGTGGCGTGGCTAGTGCAGGCATTGACATAGCTAGTGCAGGCATTGGCATGGCTAGTGCAGGCATTGACATGGCTAGTGCAGGCATTAGTGTGGCTAGTGCAAGCATTGGCGTGGCTAGCACTGGGGGTGGCATGGCTAGTGCAGGTGTTGACATGGCTAGTGCAGGCATTCGTGTGGCTAGTGCAGGCATTGACATGGCTAGCACTGGGGGTGGCATGGCTAGTGCAGGCATTGGCATGGCTAGTG